GTGTTAAGAAACTCCACAAGACTTGATTAATTATAAATTAAATTGGAGGCAATGAGGATCAAAATCGTGACACCGAGACTCTGATATTATATAAAGAACCAATTCATTCCAAAATTTTATGCTGTTGGGTGAGATTACCTTAATAGTTTTATACTTCTCTAACAAAAAGTAATATATAAGATATCAAATGCTATAAGTTCTCTATATTATAAAATCAAAAATTAATAAAAAAAATATACAATCAACATCACTAGTAATTCCACAAATATTCATAAATTCAATGTACATCTAAACAGCATAATATAGAACAAAAGCATTCAAAAAGTCTGTATAACCAATAAAATGGTGTGAAATGAATTGAGGAGAGAGAGGGGACTACTAAAAGTAATATAAAAAATATAAAATAAAAATAAAAATAAATATACTAGGTCAGCCTGGGAGGTTTTAAGGCCGAATTTTTGAATTGGAGCTGAGGTTTTTTTTTTTATCAAACGAGCTTTTATACAAGTCCAAACCTGGTTCCAACAACCAATTTTAGATATGTAAGCTCAGGCTTTCACGAGCCGAGCCAAAGGCTCCTGATTCGTTTACCACCCCTGTATGTGCCATCCTAATAGGCTGAAAATATAGAAGCATCAAAACAAAGAGAGTTAGTAAGCTTCTGATGCAAAATATCAGAGAAAATATAGGGGAACAAAAATCACTCAAAGAAAATGAAAAAAAAAATAGAACATTACTCTAAAAAATAAAAAGACGATAAAGGGAAAAAAGAGGTGAAAACATAACATTTTAGCATTACAAAAATTTATTTACAAAAATAAAATAAAATTACTTAAGCTAAAATAAAAAATAAAAAACATCCAATAAGTGTCGATCTCAATGATAAAAGTGGTTGTTTACATGTTTACCCAAAAAAAAATGGTTGTTTACATCATCCAAAAACTTGTGGCGAACACAATAAATATACCGGTCGTACAAGTAATAAAGTGATTAAGTAAAAGTATCATTCTCACGAGGACTAAATTCAAGCAATGTTTTCATCTTTTTTATCTAAGTTAGACAATTCAAAAGTAATTTCGCAAGTAACCAATATTTAAATAAAAATTAAATAAAGATGACAGTAAAAGAAATTAATTAAAAAGATTAACTTGAAATTATGAATAAAAATGCAGTTAGGTTTACTTCACCTTCGATTCCCCTTAATTGATTTAATTACAATTCAATAATATTCTATCTCAATTATTTCAAATAATTTATCATCTAAAAATTAATTGGTTAAATCATAATGTCTTAGTTCTTTAACTCTTTAACCCAATCGGAATCCTTATGTCTTAGAAATCCCTTTTAGATTAAGCCTTAAGCGTGATGAATTATAAAAATTTGCAATTCCTACAAGCCTATGTCATGCAAGAATTGGTGTTCTACCCCTATCTATATCAAGATCCCAATATATCTATTATGAATCCTAACCCTTTTTATCCCTAAATAATTGGCCAGATCATACAAGAATTTAAACATGCAAATCAAGGTAAACACAAATAATTTGAGATAATTTATTAATGAAAAGAATTAAACCAAAACAAAGATTCACGTTGGATCCATATTCCTAACTACAAAAGAAACTTAGTCAAACATAGCTGGCTTAAACAAAACAAAGAATGAAAAGAAAATAGAAAAAATCATGAAGAAGAAGAAGAATCAATGTTGCTCAATCTCCTTCAAGCTTTTCTCTCTGAAAATATCTATCTCTCGCTCTTGCCTCCTTCTCTCTCTGTTGAAGTTATAAAAATAGTGTATGTTGATCGGTTCAACACCAATTGGGTTGAGCCTAACCACACACGGTTAAAGATAGATGAAGAGAAGGAAAGATTAATGAGCTGTTGTAGGGATGCTTGGAAGCTAGGCGAGATGGTGTATTGCGTTGCAGATGGTTGGGCAGTGCTTGTGCTTCATTGGGTAGAATGAGAACGACTGGAGGTACCTGCAAAGACACTCCGACACTTAAGTTAATTTAATATCCAAGGAGGTTCAAGTATTCAAAGAGAGATATCATACATGGGCCAATGACCTCTGTATTTATAATTATTGAGCGTCATGTTTATCATCGTCCTTCATGAGGCGGTGTTCATGTTGATTGATGGAGAAGGGTGGCCTCTCAGGCTATTCTTTGGTGGGCAAACTATGTTCAGAGTAAACTTAGTAAATATAGTGACAAGCTAGAGTTGCCATCCTCACACTGGTTCTTGGAGATGGCCAACTTGATTGAGCTACTGATTTCGACAATTATGGTTCTTTTCAATTTAAGTTACGTTGTCTCGGAGGCCAATTATGAGCGAGATCCATGCATTTCTCATGTATAATAGGTTCGGATCACATGTATCTTAATATATATATATATATATATATATGTGTGTGTGTGAAGAAATAAAACACTTCGTAGAGAATTTATGGTGTAAATTTTTTTAGATTTTGAAATTAAACAAAAAAAATGATTTGAATTCATATATTATTAGATGCAATCTGTCCTTTGTGTCAAACTAAATATTATTAAATGTAGTTGACTAATCAATGAATTAAAGTGAATAACTTAATTTTACAATTTAAATAATATATTATTAGAATTAATCAAAGGTCAAATATTAAAAATATAAAGAATTATCTTATGATATGAACTTAGTTAAAAAATATATAAATCAATTTATGGAATACTGTATGGACGGTTAAGATGACGTGCCACAATCAAATGGCAGAAACCACAAGCCGGTCATATAAACATGAAAGGGATTACAGTTATTTTAAAAAATTTATTTGAGAAATGAGCAATGTTAGTCTTTATCGTGATGTATTTTATCAGTTTTAAAATCAACTTGTTGTCCAAAACACATTTCGTAACTGAGCTTTCATTTTGATGGTTTCTATATGAAGCTTTTGTGGTTTCATTATCAGAATAACTTCAATTCTTTCACTTTTGCACCTTATTTTTTTGTTCATATATATATATTTGTTCTTGTCGCCCTCTTGTGAAATTTATCCTTTCGATTTCTGTATAAAGTTTATCTGAATAACTTCTTGCACTTCTTCAACCCCCCAACATTTTTGTTCCTCTTGTGAAAAATTGTTTATTTTTGGTATCATCTAACGGCGGACGTAGGTGGCTGCAAGTGTCTGCACTTGCAGACACAAAGATGGGAGAGAAAAAATAATTCACATGGGTGGATGATTCAGATCAAGTAAAAAAGAAAAGAAAAAAAGAATAGGAAGATTGAAAGGAAAAAGGAAAAGATATGCCCAACCCAACCAATCCCTACAATTAAAAGCTTAAAGCTTAAAATCCTAGATCATTGCTTTGTCTCTTCTTCTTTTTTACATAAACCTTATTAGCTCCAAATTTTAATAGATATCAACGATTCCTGAAATTCAATCTTCATCAAGTGGAGGAGAATCACACGGGATTTTTCACTTTTTTTGTGAAACAAAAGTGACAAACTTTGGATCAAATAGACATCTACAAAGATGAATTTTTGATCGATTAACCCTTACAATTATACTATATTGTACAAATGTCTTTTTGTTGTTTTTTTTTTTTAATTATCATTATCGATTATTTCCTTAAAACTTTGGTGGATTCAACAAAGCTTTACTTTTGAAGTGAAAACAAAAATTGGATTATGATTATGATCTTTAAAAAAAAAATCGGGAGCCTCCGAAACCCCGCTCTAAGTGTGCAGACATAAAGAAAAATTTTTAGATCCGGCACGATATCATCTAACCACACCTGGCTAAGGTTATTATGTTAGACCATTTGGTAAATAGAAAATACGTAAATTTCTATATATATTTGCTTATTTTTTTTAAAGGTTTCTGTTTGGTTAATAATTAGGACGAGTTGTCTTGTTGATTAGCACTTGCAAGAATGATTGTAATTGAATTACATAAATTAGTCCAAAGTACATATCTTCAACTCTTTTCTGAAGAAATTTCTGACCCTGCATGTCTCTTTATTTCTGATTCATGTTGCACATAATTAATTATTAGGAAATAATTATAAGACTGCATAAGTCCCTACAAGTGTTTTTTTTTTTCGTTGGTGAAAATATCTACCAGTTTGTTCATTTTATGTGTTAGTAACATTTTTACACTTAAATTCATATTTTTTATACATATTTATTTTATGAAAAAATGATATAAGAGAACGATGAAGGTATGCATAAAAGAGAAATGTGAAAACCTAGTGAAATAATAATATTTTAAAAACCTCAACTATAATACTAGGAAATCTAAAAAAAAAAAAAAACATTTTTTAAAAATATCTGTACCATAGTTCTAAAGGGATGGATATATTTATCATTAAAAAAATTTATCACTCTTACAACTAATTTAATTCACCGTTGATTTCTGCTAATCTAACGGTATTAATAAGTGTGACTCAATAAATATTATTAATTCCTAATAAATTATAATGTTAGATTGACGAAAATCAATTATGATTAAATTGATTGTAAAAGTGATAAACTTTTCTGGTAATAACTGTGTATCCATTCCCTAGTTTTCTAATTCTAAAACTTTTGTGTAATTAATAACTCAAATAATTTACAACCATAAGTGATAATTAAGTGAAATTATTTACAAATTCACAACTCCAAAATCAAAGCACCACAGTAGCTAGATATTTAATATTAAATTAGTTAAATGGCGATGATGACTCATGAGTGATTTGGTTTATAACTTATATATATACTACATGTAGGAGCAATAATAGCTCAATTGGTTTTTCTTTCAAAAAAAAAAAAATTCAGTTTTAGGATCTCAATGTCTCTAGTTGTGGCGCTTTCTTACTCTCTTTCCCAACCACCGTATAAATCTCTCACTTGATTCCCCTCCCACACATCAATTGTACGACACAGCTTCGTACTACTACACTTTACATAAACTATTCTCTCTCTCTATCTCTCTTAATGAGCTTATTAAGCTCATCATCAGTCAAGGATATGGATATGGATATGGACATGGACATGGACATGGACATGGACATCGTCATGGATGGTATTGTCCCGGATCTCCTCGACTTCTCCGGTTACAGTACCACCACCCCTACTTCCGACGACGATGCCGGCTGTAACTGGAGCCAATGGTCCCCACTCGTCAACTGGGAATGCTTCACCGGCGACCAAGACGACTTCCACGGCCTCATTGACTCTATCATGGCAGATCACGGCGTCGTGCAAGAAGCATCAAGCGGTGACGGCTGCAACTCCGCTTCAACAACCACCACCACCACCACCACGGACGACGACGAAGGCAGCACCGGCGACAACTCGAAGGGCCTCCGGCTGGTTCACCTCCTGATGGCGGCGGCGGAGGCCCTCACCGGAGGCAACAAGAGCCACGACCTGGCTCGAGCGATATTGGTTCGGCTCAAGGAGTTGGTGTCCCCAACAGAAGGCACCAACATGGAGAGGCTCGCGGCGTATTTTACCGAAGCCCTCCAGGGACTGCTAGAAGGCGCCACCGGTGCGCACAGCACAACAACAACAACAACCAACAAACATTACGTCATCAGTGGACCCCACCTCGACCATAACAACCCCCAAACGGACATGCTTGCAGCATTCCAGCTTCTTCAGGACATGTCACCATACGTCAAGTTCGGCCACTTCACAGCCAATCAGGCCATCTTAGAAGCAGTGATCCACGAGCGTAGGGTCCACATCGTCGACTATGATGTCATGGAAGGGGCCCAATGGGCTTCCCTCATTCAAGCACTCTCCTCCCGGAAAGAAGGCCCACCAGGCCCACACCTCCGCATAACCGCATTGTCCAGAGGCAATGGCAGCGGACGCAGATCCATTGCCACCATCCAAGAGACTGGACGGCGCTTGACGGCGTTTGCTGCATCGATCGGGCAACCGTTCTCGTTTCATCAGTGCAGGTTGGACCCCGACGAAACGTTTCGACCGTGTTCTCTGAAACTCGTTCGCGGAGAGGCCTTAATATTCAACTGCATGCTGCACCTGCCACACCTTAGCTACCGCGCACCCGAATCGGTTGCTTCGTTCTTGAATGGTGCCAAGGAGTTGAGCCCGAGACTTGTGACCCTGGCGGAGGAGGAGGTTGGGCCCGTTGGAGATTCCGGTTTTGTGAGCCTGTTCATGGACTCGCTCTACCACTACTCGTCGATGTATGATTCCCTTGAGGATGGGTTTCCCATGCAGGGATGCTCCCGGGCTTTGGTGGAGCGAGTGTTCTTGGGCCCACGAATAACGGGCTCGGTGGCCCGGATATACCGGACGGGTGAGGGTGAGGAAGGGAGAGGGTCGTGGGGGGAGTGGTTGGGTGCGGCGGGGTTCAGAGGAGTTCCCCTAAGCTTCTCGAACCATTTGCAAGCGAAGCTGTTGCTGGGTCTGTTTAATGATGGGTATGAGGTGGAGGAGTTGCGTAACAATAAGTTGGTGTTGCGTTGGAAATCAAGGCGTTTATTTTCGGCCTCTGTTTGGACTTCTATTTTAGACTCTGATTTGTAGCTAAGTATTTTTATGTGTCCTACCCTTTTTTTCTTTGGCTCTTAATTCTAAGGGACAAAAAAAAAAAAAAAAAAAAACTTCTGCGCCAGCAGCTTACAAGAACTTTGTGTGTGTGTGTTTTTTAATTTCAAGATTTCATTATATTTGATTCTTTTCTTCTGGATTCAATTCGTTGTTTTCTTGTTTGATGAAATGGAAGTCCTTCATTAAAAAGATGAGCTAAAATGTAGACTTTAAGTTACTTGCTCTTATATTTTTTTCATGCCGTATTTAGTCAATATTTGATAAGTTTTCGTGCAGTAGTTTATCATCTTCATATATTGACGTCTTTATGAAAACGTATCATACAACAGGGCCTTCGCATTTGATTATTATAAACTATATATTCTTTATTGCTGACGCTTCAGGCTCCTTATTTTACTGATTTCATATTAGTACATTTTTCCTATTAGACCTTCTATTTTATTTTTCTCAACTGACTTTCTTAAAATGAATCAGATAAAGATATAACATCACACAATGCGTATATTCTTTTGCTAGGAAACTAAAATTATGATAGCCAGTTCATTATCTCTAATTATCTGTCTCTCTCTTACTCTTTCCAGTGCACCGCATCCGTATATATTCTAGCTTCTTCTTTCGATCTTAACTCTTTACGTTACAGTTACTTAAGATACGACATGTACCTGTTATTAAGAATGTTTGGTTATACCAACAAAGCCTTAGAGCCAGATTTGCTGATATGGAGGCTCAGACTATATATATATATATATATATATATATATATATATATATATATATGAAAAAATATTTCTACAGCCACTTTAGATAAAATTATCTACAGCTACCATTTATAACTATGTTTTTTCGGGAGAACATAGTTATAACCAGTGTTGTTAAACCTAACCCGGGCATCGATCCGGTCAGAGTACTGGGTCACTGGTCGAACTGGTTGACCTGGATATATATAGATATATAAAAATATGAATATATAAATTTAATTATATTCTCCATATCTAAAATGAATTAAATAAGGTTCACTAAATAAGCTAAAAAGCATCAAGTATAAATAAATAAAAGTGTATGCTATTACTATGTCAATTTAAATTGCAACTCAGAATCCCCATAAACATACCACCTCTCAATGACATTGAACTCGTAGTTTTCAAATTCAACTATATTAAAATGACATATGTCACATTCTCTAATTTATTATTCCACAAATTATTTCAGTATTGGAAACTAAGAGGTCATTGTAGAAGAGTATACTAGCAAATAAAATTACAAAAAGTTTTTAAAATGAGATTAACATTTTTTTGATAAGATGAAACAATTTTGTTTTTGTTTTTTTTTTAAATACATGACCCGACCAGGTCACCGGGTTTGGCCAGGTTTGTCCGGGTTTTGACCGGTTTGACCGGGTCGATGCATGACCGGTTCAATGCTTAACCCGGACCGGTCTGATGATCGGGTCGACCCGACCGGGTCGGGCCGGGTTTTACAATAGTGGTTATAACATTATTATTTTTTTTCTCTCCATGTCAGCAAACAAGTTCTGGAAAGTAATTGAGGAGAGAGAAAAAAAGCAACTTTAATGTTATAACTATGTTCTCCCAGGAGAATACAGTTAGATAGTTGTAGATAACCTTATCTAAAGTGGCTGTAAAAATATTTATCCCATATATATATATATATATAGGGCAGGATCCTTTGACACCGGTGTCAAATTTAAAGTTTGACACCTCATCTGAGAGTCATTAGATCAAAAAAGATCAATGGTGTCACATGCTTACAAATCAGAGCCATTGATCATTTTTGATCCAATGGCTCTCAGATAAGGTGTCAAACTTTAAATTTGACACCTCACCTGAGAGCCATTAGATCAAAAAAGATCAACGGCTCTGATTTGTAAGCATCTGACACCATTGATCTTTTCTGATCTAACGGCTATCAGATGAGGTGTCAAATTTAAAATTTGACACCAGTGTCAAATGATCCTACCTTATTTAGGGATAGGATCAACTTACACCAGTGTAAGAATAATAAATCTTACACCAAATCTTAACCGTTAATTTCTGTGCATCTAATGATTGAGATTTATTGAAAATTAAAAATTAATTAATGAGTGAGACCTAATAAATCTTAACCGTTACATGCAGAAAATCAATGGTTAAGATTTAGTATAAGACTTATTATTCTTACATCGGTGTAAGATGATCCTGATCGATATACATATATATTTTGCACTTCCCAACTCTTAAGATAATCATTAATTAATTCTCCACAAAGCACTGATTACAACACGTATATACAGCAGATAAAGGTTCAATCATTCCAACGAGCACAAACCAGCTGGTTACAAGACACTAGTGTATTTTATAAAGTGCTATAGGCTATAGCTAGCTCAGATGAGTTTCTTCACTTCTTGTAAAGTATTTTGTATAATCTGATATGATCTCCCCCAGATGCAACACATGCCTTACTGAAGCTGACAATCCCAGGAGTGGCTTCTTTTTCTTTTATTTAGTTTCTTTCTATTTGATCCCCTATGCATCAAAGCAAGGAAGAAATTGAAGCATTAATGTATAAATATTTAGAACAAAATAAAAGAGGCTATAGCATAATAGCGGAGAGGAGCGTCTGGTAGGTGACAATCCCTCTCTTGCATGTGTCACCCAAGGAAGATTCCCAGGAATGTTCACCTACAACTAACTATTTTGGATTTGCATCAAAACATAACTCATTATATAAATAGAATAAGTTAAGGTGCCCTCATTTAAAAACCTGTTTTATTTCTCTCTTGGGATCAGAAGCAACACTTATTGTTTTATCTGTTGTGTTTATTCCCGATCAGACGGAACGATCGTCAGCACCCCCACAATAAGCTAACCTTCTTCCCACAAATTGCCATTAAAAGACTAGTAACCAATTGATCATATATCATAAAGCTATATTAGACATTAAAGCTCCATACTTCTTGTCCCAAAAATTAAAAAAATTAAAAGTTCCTTAATTTTAGAGATATTATTTTTTGGTTTTTAGCAGTTGTTTACGCAATTTCTAATTAGAGGTGATAGTGAGGTAAAATTTCATAGATAACGAGGACTAACGATTTCATTAAATTGTTACAATTATTATTAATTATATTCTTTTAACAACAGCAATTTAGTGAAATTACACAGTAAATAGCTGATAAACATACACACATGACACATCAGCAAATATGCATGACGACTAGCACTTGAAGACCGTACATAATTGACATCTCATTTATTTATATTTTAGTTGTAATTATGTAGCATTCCTCAAACATAATTTTTTTTGGCCTTTGTATGATTTCAATGATAAATAAGTTTTTAAATACACATCACTTTTTATGGTTTATCAAATGGGAGAGGTTATAGTTACAACTTTTTTTTATAACCTCTTACAACCATATATTATAACCGTTGATTTCCGCCAATCAACGGTTATAATTTTCGCAAATTAAATTCATTAATTAATTATTAATTCATAATAAATGACAACCGTTGATTTGCGAAAATCAATGGTTATGATATATGGTTGTAAGAGGTTGTAAAAAAAAAAGTTGTAAGTATAACTTTCCTCTTATCAAATTACAGAACTTTACATGTATCATATTACCCAATATTATTAAAACCGGCTCGGTCATTGACCCGGTCGAGGTACTGGGTCAACCAGTGGTCACTGGTTCAATCGCATGACCCGATAATTATATATAATTTTATAAAAAATTATAAACATACTGAAATATCTAAAAAAAGATTAAAATTTCAAATATTTTAATATAAAAAATAATAAATCACTTATTATTATCCAATAAAGGATCAAACAAAAATATAATGATCGTGATACGAGGCTTTAGGTTCAGAACATGACATCCTTAACTATAAATCAAATCAGATTTTTTTGCATAGTGCATAATTGAGATAATATTAGTATTGTAAATACATAACTTATGTAAGTTAATAAGCAAAAAAATATTCAAATATGTCCATTATGATTTATTTTTTTTGAAAAAAAAAATTGAAATTTTTTTTGTGACCGGGCCGGGTTACCGGTTAACCGACCGGGTCACCGATTTTCATAAAAACCGGCTGGGTCGGACCGGGTCACACCGGTTCTGATGGATGCCGATCCGTTGCTTCAACCGGACCGGTTATATGACCGATTTATCAGTTTCTGGGTCGACCCGACGAGGTCGATCTGAGTTTAATAACAATGATATTACCTATTAATGTAAACGTCTACACACAAATTTTGCTCCTAATATAATCCGTATAATTCTTATTATGAATTATTAATTACAGAAAAAAGTAAATAATATAATATAAAGTAATATTTTATTTCACTTAACCACCTAAACTTTTGAATAGAATGGTTTGTTTACATAATATAAATAAGGGCAATGATTCTTAAAAAAATAGAGAAATCAAAACCAAGTCAAGATGATACGGATCAATCCCTCTTTTCTCATGCTACATGAGATAGTATTATCTTATGTAGAAACATAATTGGGTGGATCCCACGGTTAAAAGAAAAGAAAAAAGTAAAAGAAATGCTAGCTCAGATTACGATGTGTATGACATGAGATAAATTTTTTTATGTAACTTAAGAAAAACATTTCTCTATAAATAAAGGGCTCTTAGTGAGATTGCAATAATTAAATTGCCCATTTTTCAAACTTAAAATATATTAAGAAATAATATAATATAAAATAATAAATGTTATTGAAATAAATAATTTAGCTTAATTGTATCTTTACACAACTCGAACAATTTGACTGATTTCTTTATTATTTTCTAATTATTTATGGAATAAATAGAAACTCCACACTAAATTATATTATTATTGTGGCATGATGATAGGGGACGGATCAACCATGGAAGCATTGGTTTGACTTTGTTGGGTCCAAGAACTAACTCATTATCGTCCAATTTGCGATCTCGGCAACCGAGGTTCATCCAATGCAAGACCCATGCTGTTATGTTCTAAAATTGTATAAGCAAAATTAATTCTATCGAAAAGTTTAAAGTTTATGTTGTTGAACAAATGTCATATTAATGATTTCATTTATTATATTATATCACAATTCACAAGCATAGTTCCTCACTCTAACTGCATAAGCTTTTGGTTGAAAATTGAAATTCACGCACTCTCTAACAATTACGTCACAGCACTCAGCAGAAAGAATCAATTGTGAATCCACTCAGCTTAGGTTCAATGTACCTGGTCATATACCCAACCCCACATGAGAGTTAGACTCCATTTCACATTCTCAAGCTTTTCCAAAGGTACCTGTAACCTGTTCATTGCCCACTGTTCCGGTTCCACCCCAAATTTAATTTCTCATCTCTTTGTTGCCGCCATGTCCACCGTTTCCGCTGACAAGGACCCCGGTTTTGGTCAGAACCAGATGACGCAGCAGCAACCTCTGCAGGTTCACCCTTTTGAGATCTCTGCACATATAATTTGCTATTGCTTCCACTTTCTCAGATCTTTTTGTTATTATTATTAGTTTGGATGCCAGAGGGTTTTATAAAGTTTATTTCTTTTTTGCATGTAAATTACGATAGTTTGTAGCTTTTCTTAGCTTTTATTTTTTAAATTTAATGCATTTTTGCTGAAAATCTTGCTTTTTATTGCCAAATCAAATGTGTTTCTATCGGATACATAGTATCTGTTTTCTGAGATTGTATCCTATTAAAATTCACTATTTCTTTTGTAGTCTTATCTTGGTTCAGTGTGTCTTCATACGTGGGAAGGGACACATTCACACACAATCGATTACCCTTGTTTTCTTTTGTTTTATTGCTATTATTATTTCCTTCTGAATTAATTATTAGCTTGCTGAAGGGGGAGTATTAGTTATAATTCTTCGGAGATGCTAGTCTGTTTAACTTTGTAGAGTTTTTTCCATAGCTGGGGGAAGCACCTAAGATAAAATCTTTCATTAGAAACAGGGAAGACTTTTGGATAGAGAAGAGTTAGGTTCCATTGTGTATATCCTATAGATGGACCAAAAAAATTCCATAAGAGGGGAAAATAAGAAATGAACTTCATTGTCATCATTTGTTTACATTGCTTCTTGTTGATTATCATACGTTTGTTAGGTTGCAAAGCGCTTAGAGATGTTCAAAACAACAATCTTCACCCAAATGAGTATGCTTGCTGCTCAATATGGAGCCATAAACCTTGGTCAAGGCTTTCCTAACTTTGATGGTCCAGAATTTGTAAAGGAAGCAGCAATTCAGGCCATTAGGGATGGAAAAAATCAGTATGCTCGGGGTTATGGAGTTCCAGACCTGAACTCTGCCATTGCTGATAGATTTAAGAAAGATACTGGGCTTGTGGTAGACCCTGAAAAGGAAATTACTGTTACATCTGGATGCACTGAAGCAATTGCTGCAACTATGTTAGGATTAATAAATCCTGGTGAGGAGGTCATCCTGTTTGCTCCTTATTATGATTCTTATCCAGCCACTCTATCTATGGCTGGTGCAAAAGTAAAAAGCATCACTTTGCACCCTCCAAAATTTTCTGTCCCCATTGAAGAATTGAAGTCCACCGTCTCAAAGAATACTCGTGCCATTCTTATAAATACTCCTCACAACCCTACGGGAAAGATTTTCACTCTAGAAGAACTGAATTCAATTGCTTCTATTTGCATTGAGAATGATGTTCTGGTTTTCTCTGATGAGGTTTATGACAAGTTGGCTTATGATATGGATCACGTTTCAATAGCTTCTCTGCCTGGAATGTTTGAAAGGACAGTTACAATGAACTCTCTAGGGAAGACATTCTCCTTAACAGGATGGAAGATTGGATGGGCCATAGCGCCTTCGCACTTAACATGGGGAGTGAGACAGGCACATGCTTTCCTCACCTTTTCTTCCACCACTCCTATGCAATGTGCAGCTGCAGCAGCTCTAAGAGCACCGGATTCTTACTTTGTGGAGCTAAAGAGGGATTATATGGAAAAGAGGGCTATTTTGGTGGAAGGATTGAAGGCTGTTGGCTTCAAGGTATTCCCACCCAGTGGAACCTACTTTGTGATTGTAGATCACACACCTTTTGGACTTGAAAATGATGTTGCATTTTGTGAATATCTAATTAAGGAGGTGGGAGTGGCGGCAATCCCTACTAGTGTATTTTATTTGAATCCAGATGAGGGAAAGAATCTAGTTAGATTTACTTTCTGTAAGGATGAGGAAACTCTAAGGGCTGCAGTTGAAAGGATGAATGAGAAGCTTAAAAGAAAATGATCTGATGAGGTTTGTAACCTGATCAAGTAATTGGATTATCTATTTATATTATAGTATATAAAATATTGCATTGAGGACATTTTCCTTTCTAGAAACCCAATAGTAGGATGGTAACTCCTGCATGATTGAAATGGAGAGCAATGGATGACCAGCATATAGTCATTACCATGTGTGTATCGTAAGCACTCAAATCTTGTTCACAGAGACTATTATTTTTCTTTGCGATTTTCCAATTTTTTATGGTTTTTGATTTCTGATTACCTGAAATCCTGATTATGAGTTAGTCACTCATGGTTTTCAGATTTCAGGATTTCATTGACTTTTTTAGTTGTGGATGTACGTTGTTTACATTATCATGTTTTTGTTGATTCTCATCCCCTGCTCCCCGAGCCTGTCTTTCCCCTTCGTTTTAGATGTATGGAATAAACCTCTCAGGAGTGTTGTAAGAGTAAGTTATTTCTCTGGGCATAGACCTCTTATGGATCCCAATTGTAAAGCAGCATTTATATGACTTTATCTCTCAGGAGTAGGAATCTAGAATAAACACCTATTCAGAAGGTTTTCTTAACTTATTCAATTGTTCAGTACAATAAATAAAGGGTTTTATAAGAGTTATGTTGTAGGAAAAGTGATTGTGTAATGTTATAGAGATTCGTTTTGCGTGCTGTGATTTCTTTTTTTTCTTTTGTCTTCAAAAAGTGTAGACCCCACAAAATGTTGTGTGTGTAGGAAAATTTATTGTGTCATGTTAAATGACAAATATAAATCCCATAAATAAATCAACATAGAGGAGATGAGGTCAATGGCAAGTAGTACTAATGCCATCACACATTTGCATTTGAGCTATTGATCTGTGCGTTAGCATAATTACTAGCGTTCATCAAGCAGTAATTTTTATGTGTTTCAGGTGTATTATACCAATGATTCTTATTATAATCAGTGTATGATGCAATTGATATGTATCTGAAACACTTCCTCAATAAAGAGGTGTGTGTCATTTTTGGCGACCATGGATGTGCATAGCTAAGACTACTCCAGACATGAATAATTACTCAATATTTAATGAGCTAACTGGACTATATAATCTTGTCAATAGTGTTCCTATTACAAGACCTTAGTAGTAGTTTTTGTTGACATCGAACATTTAGTAAGGCTAAATGATCATTTTTTAGACTGGTGCAAAATCAAATTCGTGCATCTATCATATTTACCTTCTGAGATATTAGTCTGTAGAATTATTTTTCCCTTCGTTTATGGACCCTAAAGAAAATTTTTCTCTTTTGTTGCTTAAAATAGTTGTCAAGAAGTTGTTCAATCGTTGTCTTTTTTGTGTTCTCGAACGTTAAATGTTATTTACCACATGATTTGTGCAGCAAACTCAACACACAGGTTTGTCTAGTTGTCTACAATTCATGTATTTAACTTTGTTAAAATTAAATTTTTAAATTAAATTTGTTAAACAATTTAGGGTTGAGTAAGTTTAGGGTTGAGTGTACACTTGATCATGGGAAGTGCTTCAAATTTTGTTTTACATAAACTTTATTGGTTTCGAGATCATAATTCATAGCCTTTTTTTTTTTATAACAATAATTCATAGCCTTTAAAAATCGACAAAGTATGACTGACATAGCGAAGTGTGTTCGATTATACACTTATCTTGGTGGGTTCGAATTGTAGGAGGATGCGAATGTGGCTAAAAATGTTAATTTTAGTCTCTTGAAAGAATGAATGGCAGCGTTGAATTTTCATTTTGTTCTGAAAAAAATCATCGAACTTCCATTTTATTTTTTGGGAAAAAATGTTTGGGAGAGGTTATAGTTATTACCTCTTTTTTGATTTCCGCTAATCTAACCGTTATAATTTATTGGAAATTAATAATTAATTAATGAGTATGATCCAATAAATTACAACCGTTAAATTGACGGAAATCAATAGTTAAAATTTACTGGGAACAGGTAGCACGAAGAAGAGGCAGTAAGTATAACCTCCCAAAAATATTTTCCGCGAGAGAAGCCTAAAGCCCTAAACTAATTTCAAGACCAAACAAGCCTAAACTTCCATTTTTTTCCTCAAAATATCGTGTTGTTTAATCAATATTAGGCTTTAGGCCCACAAATATAAATCTCATCATGAGGTATATCCATTTGCGGCCTGGAGATGGCCTACTGTTACGTTCTGTAAAGAACTTTGAGATATACCACCTCAAAAGCTAGCTCAAAGGGTAGAAGTGCCAAGACCTTATAAAGGCTATATTAGTTGCCCATCTAATCAATGTGGGACTTTTTATCTCAACACGCCCCCTCACGCAAGAGCCCTTTGGGCTAGAAGCGTGGAATTGCACAGACCCATTTTTGGTTTACCTTTTTGTGTTTTTTTTTTTTTTAATTCCACTTTTTAAAGCGAGGGACGGTGAGACTCTGATACCATGTAAAGAACTTTGAGATACACGTTCGGTTTACGCTTTTCAAATTAAGATTTTAGAGAAGAGTTTGTGTTTTTCATTGGTTTGGGAGGAGTTTAGTATGATGATAATCATCGTGAGTTTTAACCATTGTTGATAGTTGGTAAGATATTTTGAAATCATTTTCCTAATATAGTTGCCGACATGATTTATTTGTTTTAGTTTGGGTTGACAAAGTGATACACTTGATACTCACCGAAAATTAGGATATGGAATATTTATTTGTTAGTTTCGAATTCATCGTGTAAATAAATGAGTTGTAAGGAATTCACAAAAAAAAAATGATAGGAAAAAAAAAACATGTTTGCTAAAGAACTAAATCGCCCCATGCTCGACATTAATTAAAAAAAAAAAAATTTGCATGCCAAAAACTATTTGAAATATTATAGATAAGTCTAAAGTTCTTAAATCTTGGAAGGGTTTGGTTAATGGAGGAGACAAGCATACAAAAAATGGGTGCTTTAGTTGAAGAGAATGTTATAAGTGAATAATTTTGGAGAAAGGTGAAAAATATACTTAAATCACAATTCTCATTTATTTGTTGATCCTCTGAATTATCAATTTCAGTTAGGAGCGTTTGGTACAAAGTATTTTGTAGGATTTTTAAGAAATTAATTTTTTTTAAATTTTTAATTTTTAGATATTATTGTAAACAGAATATTTTTATCATATTTTTAAAAATCAAAATTTTCAGATAATTTTTTTTTTCCCCTACCAAATGTCCCGTTAAAATTTATTCCATTCCGGGTGATCCGCATAGACTTCAAAATTAGAGTCCAGAGAGATTGCAATCACTAGTCCCTGGTCCCTAGTCCCTACAACAAAATCGGAATTTCAAGGCAGCTTTTTATGTTTTTTTTAGGACATGGGCAGCTTTTTATGTTTGACGGTGGTTTAAACCGCAACTTTAAAAAGTCAACGGCGATTTTCACACTGCCCGAAAAAATAGTGCCGCTAAAACCTTCGCAATGATTTTGGAGGAATAATCATCAGCAAGATTTTTCTATTTTTATTTTCAAATATAGAGGAGGTTATAAATGCCGTATTTTTTAAAAATGAAATAATTTAGCTGCTAAAAAAATTAAATTTCATTTAAAATGTTAATTGCTGCCAAAAGAGTTTTGAAAAAATAGTAAATTCAAAATATTTCTTTTAAAATAAATGTTGAGCTCCATTATGCAACACAGATAAATAAATATTTCATTTTTCAATTTTGCAAAGAAAACAAAGTTCTTTAACAATCATGCAAAAATTTGTAGACTACTACTGCATTGTATAACAGAAGTAAACAATTGTTACGGGTTGATGATATGTTAAAATAAACACTCGTGCATTTTTCTAACCGAAAGAGAAGAAAATATCTTGAATGTGATCTATAATTTATGCATTTTTTTTTCTGACAACCTGAAAAGGATTATGTCCTAGCATTCTCCAGTTAGACTAATCAATTATTAAAACATCTCAATGACCAAATATGTTTAAAAAAATGTCTTAAATAGGACCTACTTATCAATCACAATACTTGAACCTTGGCCCATAAATTTGTGTTTTACTCGATGAGCATCTAGCCTGAACCTGAACATCACATATGATAATATGAATAATAATATACCCAGTTGTGAAAAGGGGTGGGTTTTATCAACAATAATAAAGTAATACTAATATGTCAGTAGCCTAAATTAATAAAGATGGAGTTATTTACCTTATTGTTTCCTGTTATTTAGTATATTAATATAGAAAATTGTACAATCGTTCTATAGCTTGATAGCAAAAGTCACTCTAGATGCAATTTTAAATACAATCTTCAATTCATCTGAAGTTATATCACTGTCGTATTTTCACCTCTTTCGTTCATTGCCGTTCCAAGATTTGTACATAATGAGGCATGATCTTGAGATAATGTATTATGTATAGGCAATCGTTGAGTGGTGACCCAGTTTTAAGTAGGGTAATATCTGAATGCCAGGCAACAAGGAGGATTCTAATAAATAATTGAGAAGAAGGCAGGATGGGTGATATATGTAAGTGAAAATATTTTTTAGTTTGAGTATATATATGAGAATATGTAATTGTGTTATATTTTGGCAAGGAGTTTTGTCGCTTCATGGTTCTACCCGAGTTGAATTGGACTAGTTGAATAATTAATGAATCGATGGATATTATAAAAATAATAATTTAATTTATTTATTTTTGGTACATTTTCCCTATCTATTAATAAGTTTTTTTTTTAATTTTATTTTCATTCTCAAGAGGGTTGAGACGGAAGTTTAAATCTTCGTGACAATAAATAAAATTTTAATTTAATTTAAAAATATATTTTTAATTTAATTTAAAAAGATATCATAGTTTTAGCCTATTAAATTTATAAATAAATATTTTTAACTATTAATTTTAAAAAAAATTATTTAAAAAATTATTTGAGAAAAAGGACATTTACTAATCTTGCTTTTCAAATTTGGTTGCTGCTTAAGGAGATTACTTTCTATATGAAATTATTATGACATTCACAACGTAAGTATTGTTATAAATATAATTAATAGATAATAAATCATCGTTAATTTACCGTACGAATTAATATTCTTTAAAAAAAAAAAAAAACAAGTAATTTTCATCCTTTCGTGATTCACGTGCAAAACCTTTTTGTTCAATCATAAAAACTGTCACGTAAGAACAAATTCACTTCCTCACAAGCTAGCATTTGATTTCCTACCTTTAGTTTCAAACGTTCGTAGCATGCACTTGCTATCTATAATGTACGGACACCGATACGAGATACGACACGACACGTCGACACGTTAATTCTAAAAAATGGTATATTTTGACATGTTGGAACATGTTTTGATATTAAATAATATTTTTAATATATATAATATAATTTATATTTAATAGATATAACAGTCCATAATAAGTCATATAATCAATCAAATATTCAAATTTTATAACATAAATATAAACATAAGTAATTTTTCGTACCTTGTTAATTTTTCATGTCAAATTTCATAACAGAAAAAAATAGATTTATAAATATTTTTTTTATTTTTAGTTAATAAAATAAAATTAAGACTAAAAAAAAAAGTGTCTGAGCATTGACCACGTGTCAAAAAAAATTGACTGCGTATCAAAAATATGTGTCA